TTAATTAACTCCAGTGGCTCACGATCACGTCCAGGATCAAAATCTTCTGTTCAACATTCAAAGCCTTTCATAACTTTCTTCTTCCTCTCCATCTTTCTAGTCTTTTTAAACCTTCCTACCTCTCCCTACCTTCTCCATTTCATTCTCTGACCCAATGATACAGGCCTCCATGTTGCTGTTTCTTCAACAAGACACTCCATCTCCTGACTCTGGGAATTTTCATTGGCTATCCCCCCATGCCTAGAATTCTCCTCCACTTCATCTTCCTCCTCCTCCTCTTTCCCCTCCTTCTTCTCCTCCTCGTTCTCCTCTTCACCTTTGCCTCCTGGCTTCCTTCAATTCCCAGCTAAAATCCCACCTTCTACAAAAACCTTCCCTGGTCCCCTTTCATGAAAGTGCCTTGCTTCTTTTGCCTGCCCCTCATTGATCCTGTCTATAGCTAGTTTGTTCACAATTGGTTGCATGTTGCTTCCTCCATTGGACTGTGAGCACCAGGAAAGCAAGGACAGCTTTTTTCTCTTTCTTTATATCTTCAGCACTTGCCACATACAGTAGGTGCCTGATAAGTGCTTGTTGATTAATTATGACTATATAAAAGGAAAAATGAATAAGAATAAATGGATAAACAAGTCCTGTGGAGGACTTAGAGGAAGATCTGAAAAATTGCTATGATACTTTATAAAGTGAAATGAATTCATTTAAATGTAAATCACTATGTAAGTAGAGTAGGTTGTATTGATGTTCAAAGTTAATCTTTTAACAAAACATTTACAAATAATAAATCAAATCAAATCTGTTGCAGAGCCAGGGTTGGATAACAAAATATGATGGACGCCATCCCCGGTAGGAGGACTTGTAGACCTCTCTCCTCAAAATACAAAAGGTGCAAGTTATACACTAGGCCAACGGACCAGTTGATCCCTAGGCTAGTCTAACCATTCCCTCAGTCTACCATCTGCCTGAGCTGCCTCAGCTTAAACAATAAAAAAGAGAGAGAAGAGACTGTGGAGGGGAAAGAATCCTTTCTGCGTACAGTATTCACTGACCATGAGCCAATTCAAAACTAAAGAATGGTTGGGCTGTTTCTTAAAACACACATCAATTTTAAATCTCTATAGTCTAAGAAAATAACTAACATTGGTTTTATTAGTGTCACAGATTCGGAATTGAAATCGACCCTAGAAACCTTCTAATCTAACCTGTAGCTGAACAAGCACGCCTTTCTACTACCTGGGTAGTAAGGCAAGTCACTCAACCACTTGACCTCAGTTTCCTCACCTGTAAAATGAGGGGGTTGGACTGAGGTTGCTTTGCGCTCTAAATCTGTAATGATCCAGCTAAGCCTCAGCAGCTGGGTAGGATTTCAACAGGTAGAGATGGTAGAGAGAGCATTCCAGGCCTACAGAACAGAACTCAGGACTTGCACAGGGAATGGGGAGTAGTTTAATTTGACTGTAGCCTGGGTACATGAAAGGGAGAAGTATGGGGCACTTTTATTACACCTTCATCTCTTAGGTCTAAGATGAGGTTGAAAAAGGGAGTGACCCCAGATTGTGCAGGCAGCTAGGTGGCAGGGTGGATAGATAAAGTGCTGGACCTACAGTCAGGAAGACTCATCTTCCGGAATTCAAATCTGGCCTTGGACACTTACTAGCTGTGGAATCCTGAGCAAGCCACTTCACCCTATTTGTCTCAGTTTCCTCATCTGTAAAATGAGCTGGAGGAGGAAATGGCAAATCACTCCAGTATCTTTGCCAAGAAAACCCCAAATGGGGGTCACGAAGAGTTGGATACAACTGAAATGACTGAATAGCAACAACCAGATTATGGAGGGTCCTAAAATTCAATTCAATCCAACAAATATCTGCTAAGCCCCCACCATACGTAAGGTACTGTGCTAGGCACTAGGGATCCAAAAACAAAGAGTCCCTGCCCTCAGGAAGCTTACATTCTTCAAATAAATAGATAAGTAAACTCAGCATAATTTGAGGAGGGAGAGAGCGATGACAATTAGGGGGATTTGGAAGGTTTCCCATGGGAGTTGGCACCTGAAGGAACTAAGGATTCTGAGATAAGGTGAGGAGGAAGTGCATTTCCCATATGTCTTCACATGTCTTTGTGGAGGTGGTGATAGGAGATCAAGTTCAGAGACAGTAACGAGACCAGTTTGACTAGAACATAGAGCACATGAAAGGAAGTCATGAATTATATTGGGAAAGGCAGGGCTGAGCCAGATGCTGAAGGCTTTTAAATATCCTGCTGAGACATCAAATGTAATAAGCTTCCTGAGGACAGTTCATATTTTGTCCTAGAGATAATAGGGAGTTACTGAAGTTTCTTGAGCAGGGGAGTAATCTAAACAGACTTGTGCTTTGGGAAGATTATTTTGGCAGTTGTGTGGAGAACGGATTAGAGCAGGGGAGAGATTGAAAACAGGGAGAACAACAAGGAGGCCGTTGGAATAGCCCAGACAAGAGGTGATGAGGACTTAATAAAAGTCAGGCTCTTGAATGGAGAGGAGGGGAGAGATGAGAGACATGGTGGTGATAGAGTCAATCGATAAGACTTGACAACTGATTGGATATGGGCCGGGGGGGAGAGTGAGAGAGAAGGATGAGTTAAGATTGACTACAAAGCCAACACTTTATTGGGCAGGCACTCTGGCTTCGTTACATCTCTCTGACTCCAGATTCCATTTATCCCATAACCACTCACTCACCTGCCTATTGGACCCACCTTACTGCCGTCAGCTACCCATCTCCCTCTTGGGCACCTCCATCCCCATGATGTTTAATCTTGAGTTAACAAACCCAACAGGGTACAAAGGTGGTACTGGAAGCAGCAGCTTTGGTTAAAGGAGAAGTCCACCAATATCTCCCAGCTTTCCCACTCCTAGACCAGGCTGATAAAATATTTAGTGGGTGGGCTGGCAAAGTTCTAGAAATGATTAAAAAGATGGAACGAAACCCTGGAAAACTGCGTTTTTTTCACTTCTTTATTCATTCAATAAATATTGACTGTCCTATAGGGCTGGGGAACCTGTGGCCTTGAGGCCACAAGTGGCCCTCTTGGAACTCAAGGGTGGCCCTTTGACTGAATCCAAACTTCTCACCTTAATAAAAAGATTTGTTCTGTAAAATTTGGACTCAGTCAAAAGGCCACACTCAAGGACCTAGAAGGTCACATGTGGCCTTGAGGCCACAGGTTCCCCACCCCTGGTAGTATATACATTGCTAGGCACTGTGGGCAATAATAATATCATTGTAATAATAGCTAGCATTTTTATAGAACCTTAAGGTTTGCAAAGTGCTTTACAAATATTATTTCATTTTATTCTCACAACCCTGGGAAGTAGGTAATAGTTTTACATATTATAGATATATAATAGATAATATAGATAGGTAATAGGTAATCTATTGTATATGTATATGTATCTGATGACTCTGGAAGAGAGTAAGGTTTATGACTGTGCAACTCTGCCTCACTTAAATCCAATTCACTCGAAAGTCAAGATATCCCCTTGTGATGTCACTGGTTCTCTTTGAAAACAACGGACAAACAACATATATATACACATATATACAAACATATATGTGTAACACATACATATACATATATTAGATATCTCTCTATCTCTCTCTATCTCTCTATCTGTCTTTCTATCTACCTGTCTATCTATCTGGCAGCTAGCTGGTGCAGTGGATAGAGTGCTGAGCCTGGAGTCAGGAAGACCTGAATTCAAATCTGACCTCTGACGCTTACTAGCTATATGACTCTGGGCAAGTCACTTAACCTCTATTTGCCACAGTTTCCTCGATGGTAAAATGGGGCTAATAATAGCACCTACCTTCCACGGTTGTTGTGAGGATAAAATAAGATAATATTTTTAAGGAGTTTAGCACAGTGTCTGGCTTTTAGTGGGTGCTATATAAAGGCTTATTCCCTTCCCTCTCTTATTATCCCCATTTTATAGATGAAGAAACTGAGGCAGACAGAGGTCAAATGACTTACTCAGAGTCATGCAATTAGTAAGTGTCTGAGGCTGGATTTGAACTCAGTTCTTCTTGACTCCAGAAGTCAACTAGGTGCTCTTTTTTTTTTCTTGGCACCATCTAGCTGTTTCATATTAATAATAATATGTATTATATCAATAATCACTACAATGACACATGGCCCCTATTCTCCAGTAAGTTGTAATAGATTTGAAATTGTTTTATAGCACTACAGATAATTATATGCCACATTGGAGAAGAGACAGTATGGTCTTAGTGGAAAGAAGGCTGACTCTGGTACCTGAAGACCTGAGTTCAAGTTCCAACTTTGCTATTTATGATAAATCACTTTGCAATTACATTTGCATAGTACTTCAAAAGTCACAAAATATGCTTTCCTCATAATATTTATGTGAGGTAGGTAGTACCGATATCATTATTGTCAATTATGGGGCTTCGAGATGTTTAGTGATTTGCTCGTGACAACTCCCATCCTAAGTGTCAGAGGTAGAATTCAAATTCAGATCTCCTGACTTCAATGGCCTACCCTCTCTCTTACCCCTTGGGGTTTCAGCTTCCTCCTCTGTAAAATGAGGAATCCGGACTAGATGACTCACTGAGTGAGACTCCTTAACCACGATGACTGTGGATGACTTTTCCAACCTCCAGGACCTTTAACTGGTTTGGTTAAGGCTCTCACTGATTCAGAGACAGAACAGGGAGCTTTTGTGTCCTGGAGGCCTGCTTGCTACCAGTCAGCCCTAATGTTACTGCCTAAGAATGGCCGCATTGACGTTGTCTAAGTGGTATGATGACCAGAGTAAGGGACCTGAGCCCTTGGTTTTTAAGGTGCTCCCTGCCTCGTAGTGTGAAGCAGCCAACCACCTGAGATGGGGCTCCCAGGGAGAAGTTTACTGACCATAACCAGCCTCTTTGCTGAGAGGAAGGTGGCTGGGCTTTGACACTTGAAAACTAAAATTGAAATAAGAACACTGACTTATTTTCCAGAATTGCTTCTTTTACTGGGGATTTGCTGCTTGGCTTGCTTATTACATCAATCATCCTCTTTACACGCCTCCTTGTAAGTAACAAAACGGCCCTCAGTTCATATCATTTCTGCATTTCCTTCGGGTGGCCTTGTAATTAACTCTCCTATTTTTTCCTTTTTCTCATTTTGTTTTGTCTGTTCTATTGGTGTGTAGCCTACGGACAAAAGCAGATCAATTTTTCTCTGATCACCTTTCTGGTAGGTCTTTTATGTTAGACTTTTCCCTGACTCGTGAACTTTCAAATAACTCACATTTATGTAGTGCGTGACTTTTATCATAATTACCCTATGAGCTACTTACTACAGACATTACCCTCCCCATTTTACAGATGAGGAAATGGAGGCATCAAGAGGTTAAGAACCTTGTGTATGATCACAGAGCTAGTGTCTGAGGGGGAACTAGAATCCAAGTCTTCCCAATTCCAAGTCCATTGCTCTATCCACTATAGCACACTGCCTCTCTTCTCATTTAGTAGGACTGTCTTGGGACAAATAATGATAGCTAGGTGGTGCAGTGGATAGAATGGAGTCAGGAAGACTCATCTTCCTGAGTTCAAATCTGGCTTTAGAAACTTACTAGCCGTATGACCCTGGGCAAGTCACTCAGCCCTGCTTACCTCAGTTTCCTCATCTAAAAATGAATTGGAGAAGGAAATGCCCAGTATCTTTGCCAAGAAGACCCCAAATGAGGTCACTGAAATGACCGAACAACAACAATTTTCTGAAAAGTTCAGTCAGCCAGTCATTAAACATTTATTAAACACCTACTATGTGTCAGGCACTGTGCTAAGTGCTAGGGATGCAAAGAAAGTAATTAGAAATTAAGGTCAGATTGTATGGTGTCAAACTATCTGGATTTAGAGTCAAAGGACTTAGATTCAAATCCTGAATTCAAATTCAAATCCTGAGGCTCTGCCTCACTTAACGTCCCCAGCTTTGGCTTCCTCACATGTAAAATGACGGTGTTGGACCAGCTGGCTTTTGAGGTCCTGTCTATGATCGTGTTGTGGGTTCCAGTCTCTAGATTTTGCTACTTCCTAACTGTGTGTCCTTTGGGGAAGGAGGTAAGAGAGAGAATATTCACGGGCAGCAAATAGACCAGTTGAGGTTGGAATTTAGAGTTTGTCATGGAGAATAATGTAAAATGGAGAGACACTGATGATCTTTAAATCCTATGATCCTAAAAGCCTGTAAGTGAGAAATGACTAATTTGATCACCTTGGTTATCTTAATGATTGATGGGAATTGATGTCAAATGGATTTGACCTAGCACTGGCTACCTCTTGCAAGGATGGGACTTAGGGCCAAAGGCATAGATGAAGTGTATGATTTTGTTTTTCTTACTTTCTCAAGGGGAAGGGGATGGGAAACAATAGGGAAGAGGGAGAGAATTCGGACCTGAAAATAAAATAAAGTTGATTTTTTTAAAAGCATGAAATCAATACTCTAGATCCCTAATAATGAAAGAAATGCAAATTACTCACATCCATCAGATTGGCAAAGATAACTTGATAATAAAAGAGGAAAACATTGAACGTTGGAAGGGCTGCCAGCAAAGACACATTCGTGCTCTGTTGTTAGAGCCGTGAATTGGTCAAGACATTGTGGAAAGCAATTTAGATTATGCCCAGAAAGTTACCAAACTATGAACGCCCTTTAACCACTACTAGGGTTGTACCTGAAAGAAATCAAAAAAGGAGAAAAAGGATCCATATATACAAAAATAATCATGGAAGTGCTTTTGTGGTAGTTTTATGTAGTCAAACATTTAAAACTGAGGGGATGTTCCATTGGGGAATGGCTAAGCAAACTGTGAATGTCATGGAATGTCATGAATGTCATGGAATATTGTGCCATAATAGATAATAAAATGGATAGTTTAAAAAAAAAAAGGTGTGGTTACCAGTTGACCTAGTGTCAGAAGCTAGATGAAAGTACTCCCAATTCCTGACTTCTCTTTATCAGAAAAGATGTTAACTAGTAGTTCCATGGCTCATAAATGGAAGCCATCAGTGGTGAGAATCCAAGGTAATCCAAAAAGTCCTCCAGGGAGTTGAATGAAAAAGCCCTGAGTTCTCAGTCCCCACTGATGGGTGCTTTCCTCCATTTCTCTGTCTGATATCCACAGACAGCAATCATCAGAAAACAAAATCTAGCCTTTGGTTTTCCACACACGTCTGGCAGATTAATGGTGGAACCCTAGGTGCAGAGCTGGAAGGGACCACAGACAGTATCTAATCTTAACCCTTTATTTCACAGAGGTTGAAACTGTGGCCCGTTGACGTGACTTGTGTGAGATCACCCAGGAAATAGGGAGTGGGCTGGCATTCAAAGTCCATGCTCTGACTCCAGATTCTACACTCCTTCTACTCCATCATACTATGCCTCACATACTTTGATTGTGTTAGCAGTACAGCCGACTTGGCTGTCCAGTTTCCCTTTGAGAATCTTTCCTGGGCTGGTTGGGGAGGGGCAGGGCATGAAGTGCTATTAGCCATTAAGTCATAAAAGATAGCACTTCAAGACCAGAAATTCTTAACCTTTTGGGGATATACATCCCTTTGAGGGGCCTATGGAACCCCTCTCAGGTCAGGATAATGTTTTTTTAAATGCATAAAATAAAATATATAGAATTACAAAGAAAACCAGTTATACTGAAATTCAGTTGTCAAAATATTTTTAAATGGGTTCACCAGCCTCAGGTTAAGAACCCCATGTTTTGGGGGCATCTAGGGTAGTGCAGCAAATAGAATATCCTGACCTGCGGTCAGGATAGACCTGAGTTCAAATCTATCTTCAGATACTTACTAGCTGTGGGATCCTAGGCAAGTCACTTAACCTCTGTTTCCCTCAGTTTCCTCATCTGCAAAATGGGGGTGATAATAGGGTATTGTTATCAATTATAATTGGAGAATAATTGTAAAGTGCTTAGTACAGTGACTGACATAGAGTGTTAGATAAACATTAACTATTATTATTATCATTAGGTTCTACTCTCATGTTCTTTGATCTCTCTTACCAGAATCAAAGATTGTTGGTGTCTTCAAGTTCCATGAACCCAGCTTTTGAAATCATTCATTTAAGCTAGCCAGAGTGCCAGGAGAGAGGGCTTTTTAATAATTCTCTAATCCTTTCTCCTTACCTTAGAAATCAGATGAAGGTCTCCACTGTTGAAGGGGATGGAGGGGAAAGTTGACCTTATATGTTTCCTGGATTGTCTTTAGAAGTAGACCCAAAGAACTTCTTTATTCTCTGGGGCAGTTCTGAAAATGTGTCTGTTATTGGGGTGGGAGAGGCAGCCTGGTGTCAGGAGTTGAGAGAGCTGACCTCAGAGTCTGGCAGCCCTGGATTCGGGCATCACCTCAGACACATTCTAGCTATGGGACCCTGAACAAGTCACTTCTTAGGGCCCCAGACAACTCTCAAAGACTAATCTGCACTATCAGTTTGTATGCTGAACCACTTTGGTGTGAAAGTTCCCTAGGACAATGAAATCATAGGTCCAATAAAAAGAAAAATGTACATAATAGGGCTAAAAATTATAGCAAAAATATGTATCACTATCTTTTTATGTCCTTTAATATAGTTATGTGAAGCTGGAAACTTTTCAATCCATGTGGAGCTCAATAACCTAAGAGGAAATGGTGAGAGTTTTTAATTTATTTTTTGTTTTTATTGTCATAGTTTAACATTTATGTAGTTAAAAGAGACCAATGACCATAAAGCTAACCAGATTCTTTTTTCTTTATGAGATTTAATGACAAAACCCATAGTAATTGTAAAATCTCACCTTGAACTCATGGGTGTCTGTGCTGCTCAAGCCACTGGCTAAGGGAGTGAGGGCTGGGGGAGGGGTTCCTCCAGCAGCTTCTGGACTCTGTAGCTCTCTAGAGACATTGCTGTGCTCCATGGTCATTACTGATTGTATCTCCTAGCTCTTCATCCAGGGGCAAGTATATTGAGGGCCCCAAGCCCCAAAGTTGGCTGTGTCCTGGTACCATTGCCCCAGAGGCCCTGGCCTAGTCTGTCATACAGCCTGGAGATATTTGGAAGATGGCTAATAAAAGGCCTGCTTTAGACAGAGCCCAGCAAGCATGCACAGGCCAGTATACCCTATCTCCTAAGTCACCATTAGCCATTCTGCTCACATTAGTCACTGAATCACTATTAGCTACTCTTAGCACATAGTAGGTGCTTAATATATACTAGTTGACTGACCAAGATACCCTGGATTTGGGACCAGGATTGAAGGATAGTAGGTAATAACTTTCACCCATCTGTGTCTGAATGGGTTCTTCTGTCAGACAAAGAATTGAATGGCCCTTTGGGAGGGAACTTGGTAGAGTGTATAAAATGATGGACTTAGAATCAGGAAGACCAAGGTTCAAATCCCACCTCAGGCACTTACTAGCTGTGTGCCCCTGGGCAAATCACTTATTCTCACTATGCCTTTGAATGAATTTGATGAACTTGAAAAAGGTCCCTTCCAGCTCCAACTCTCTGATGCAAGGATTAAGTCCAGTCAATAAGCATTCACTAAGCATTTGTACCGATTGAGGTAAAGCACCAGGGGTTGTCCCACTCACCATCCCAAAGATAACTATCCCCAGGCTACCCAGGTAGCTCAAGCTACCACTGATGTTTGAGGTCCAGGGGACAACAGCTTCACAGCAGTCTCTGTGGACCCCCTGGAGACAACTTCTAGTCTAAAAACCTCTTGGTGGCTTTCCCTCTTCGGGGTTGTGCTGGAGTCAGCTCATCATAGCCCATTGGTAAATTTTGAGTGTGAGCATTTACACCTCAGAGATCAGCAAACACTACTGATCAGGGCTTGAAGTCATTGTTTTGTTGATTGTGATGAAAAAAATGTTAATAATGTAGGCCTGTTCTAACGGACTGACACGACCATTCTTTTACATCCTCAGGACCAAAGACACGTCGCATCCCCTACCCAACCAAGAATCCATTCACGTGGCTATTTTTCTTTGTCTCCTGCCCTAACTACACCTATGAGGTAGGTGAGCCAATGGGCAGGGAGAGCTTAGGGAAGGAAGGGCCAGCCTTGCTGGGTTGCAGGTGATGTCTCTGAGCAGATTTGTTATCCTTTGGAGATTTACTACTAAGGAGCAGACTCAGCATGGGGAATCCAGGCTAGTTATACATTCTTTCCTGCCCCTTGCCACCCCCCTCATGCATGATCTCGCCAGGACGAGTAGAGACGTGATGCTAAAAGCCACCAAAGTGTCATGTTTGAAACCACACAGTCAGACTCATTCCTCATCAAGGAAATCAATAATGGCAGACATTTGATTTGTGGTGGATACATACACTTTTTATTCGCTCTTGGTAAACAAACAGGGCCACATAGATCAACTTGAAAAGCGAACAGGTCCCATGCTAATGTCAGCTGGAATGTTGGTTAATAGTGTAGGTCTGGACCTCTGGTCTAGAGGAAAAGTGTTCCTGTGTCTGTTTGGTTGCAGGTGGGGGCCTGGATCAGTTTCACCATCATGACTCAGTGTGTCCCAGGTGAGTCTGCTTGGTCTCTTATCCAATGGCGGTCCTACTGGGGCCCTCGGCACTTCTCCAGGAAGCCTGACATCAGATGACATGGATTTTGTTTTCTCTTCCTTTTTTCCTTTCTTTTCCTTTTCCTCTTTCTTTCTTTCTCTTCTTTCTTTCTTTCTTTCTTTCTTTCTTTCTTTCTTTCTTTCTTTCTTTTCTCTCTCTCTCTTTTTTGTTGATACAGTGGGATTATTCACACTGGTTGGATTCGTTCAGATGACAATCTGGGCAAAGGACAAACACTGCACTTACGTAAGAGAGTTCAAGGATTATCCCAGTCTCCGGATGCCAATCATTCCTTTCTTGCTGTAGGAAGCAAGCAGTGATGCACGGGCACTTCAGCAGACCTGGGGACAGAAAAGCCAACATTTGAGCCCTGGTCTTCTGGGTTTTCTCAAAAAAAAAAAAAGTGGTAACTTTTCAATTTTTAAAGTTAATCAATTGGCAATAATTCTCTGAAAGACAGCTAAACCAAGGCACTGGGTGGGGTCTATCAGCACTCCAAAGTAATCGAGTATTCTCGTTTCCTCACCTGACAAGTGAGGAGGCCTGGACTACGTTTGTTCTAAGGTCCCTTCCAGCTTCCAAATCCTATAATTCTATGTATGTGTGTATTCATAAATATACACACTTTCCTTTCTGCACATGTACATGCATATTAAGAGGTAACACGTCCCTGTGAGATTTTCAACTTGTCAGGGTTCTTTAGTTGTATCTTGGGAGTAGCGGTAGGTGGTTGTTTTCTTTTTGTTTGTTTGTTTCTAAGCCCCGGCAAGTTATCATGCTCTTCCTGTCTATGGAAACTCCCATAATTTAGGATGTCTTCAGGGGACTATGTTTGATCATTTCTCGTGTTAGAAGAGCAGTAAAGAAGCTTAGCCATGAGGGAGAGTCCAGCTTATAAATGGGACAGGGCCCGCTAGTCCTCTGGTGCTCAGGTCTGGGACGTAACGTTCAGTGCCGTGTCTAAGCCTCACTCATGCAGAGGTGGCAGCCAATGTTACTTTTTCAGCTGGTGAAGAAATACTACGGCCTCTGCCAATAGGGCAGATACTACAGGGTTGGGGGTGGAAGGGGCAGAGAGAAGCAGAGAGGTAGGGAGGTTTAATTGGTAAGTCAGTGCCTAGCTCTCTGGGTTGGACAGACAGACAGAGAGCAGAGCCTGGACCCACCTAGACGGAACATGTTTATCCCATCTATCATGTAGTGTAGTCATATGTCACCTTAAAAAGAAACCTTTCCATGTACTGTATTTGGGGGTGAGAACATAATGGTATGAGCCCAGGACAAGGGGGGAAGTCACATGGATTAACCAATGCTGTAGCTATTTCTGAAAGCAATTTAAAAGGACTCTGTTAATGGGGAGAGTGGATAATTTGACCTAATGGGTCTCAGGCACTGATTGGAGCAGCTCATGATACTGGAGGGTCCAGGTCATAGACATGCAATTATTAACCCATTTAAAATGTTACTGGTTCATCATCTACATGACCCTCAACCTGTTTTCATAAAACAAGCTGTGATGAAACCAAAGGATCTTCATCCTTCTGGATATTTTCCAGGGTCGTGCTCTCAGCAAGGTTTTCAAATGTACTTGGTGAACCTATGCACTGATCTCTCATTCCTAGATGGACAGCTCAGCTCAGCTCTTGCGCTCATAACCCACAGATAGGAGGGAAGTCAGTCAGCTTTAGGACCTCCTAGGGAGCTGACCTTCTGCCATTTGTTCAGGGGAAAGTTTTGAAGGCTTTCTATAAAGCTGTGCAAGAAATGATCCCATCCTAGACAGATTTATTTCCCTACGAGTGCTGTACAGAAAGATTTTTGCAACTCTTTGTAAAGATGATCTACAAAATAAAGTCAAAGCTATGTTTTGAATTCTGAAGTCAATATGAAAACACCAGGTAACAGCCATTGGGCTGAAAGTCAATCAAATCTCATGAGTCTTTGCATAGTGTAAAATACAAAATAAGGTTTTTACTTCTTCAGTTTTTGCATACAAAAAGTCACATCTGCTTTCCCCCAAAGTCTAGATTTTTTATTGTGCACAAAGGGTCATTCTCATAAAAAGAGGAAAATATTTGCACTACTTACTTCATAAGGTTGTTGTTAAGAGGGTTAAAGAGCTATATAAGTGTGAGTTATTATTATCATCACCATCATCAATTAAGTCAAAGTGATGAGTAAAAACCCATAGCTGGCAAGACTTTACCTGAAGCTTAGCATTCCAAGGTTTAGGCATTTTTCTGTCCTTGGGTTGTATTTGGGCAGAGTCAGCTCTCCCAAAAAAACACTATTTCCTGAAGGTGGGCACTATATCTCTTTTTGTCTTTGTATTCCTAGTATCCAGCATGGGGCCTTATATACAGTCAGTGCTCAATAAATGCTCACTGGGTTGGGGAAGGAGAAAAAACTAATATGATCAAAGTTTCTGAGGGTAATAGTTTAGTGAATGAAAATGTATTTATTAAGTGCTTACTATATACCAGGTACTGTGCTAAACATGAGGTATACACCTGTGTGATCTTAGGCAAGTCACAACCTCCCAGGGCCTCAGTTTCCTCAACTGTAAAGTGAAGGTGTCAGTCTAGATGTCATCATCCCTTCCAGCTCTAAATCTATGGTCCTAAGACCTCACACAGAAAAGAACATAGACAAGGAAAGGGCTTGTGTGCATGTGTTTCTGTCCTTTGTGGGGACTCACCCTGGGCCTATGGATAGATTTCAGAGCGTCTGTGAACTTGGATGGGGCAAAAAATGACATCTTTATTTTCACTAACCTCTAACTGTAATTCATTCAATTATGAATGTAGGCAACCATCTGCAAGGATGCACAGGCTTCATCAAACTGTAAAAGATGTCGGTGATTTAAATAAAAAAGAAGACGTTTAAGAACCCCTGATCTAATGGGTGATTTCCAGCTAAAGGAAATGAGCACCCAGAGACAAAGCAGTTACTCCCTGTTTTTTCATTTCAGACATATTGCATGAATTTGTGTCTTGACATACATATGAAATATCTCAATGCCCACAATGTTTCAAGTAGCTTTGTTTGGTGGCTATGTCCCTAGCACCCTGGATCGGTCTAGGTATGGAAGAGCCCTTTGGAGAGGCTGACCTGGGCTGTGCATTGGGCCTGCACTGGCCTGTCTGAGCAGAGGATCTGCTCTATACACCGTCCTGGGAGGGAGGAGCTGGGGCTACCTTGGCATCTGGGATGGCTCCAGCTGCACGGGGGTGTAAGGGAAAATCATCCTCTTCTGTCTGCTGTTTAGCAAAGTTCACAAATACCTGCGGGAGTTGGGACACAGGCAGAAGAAAGAGAGCAATATGTAACCATAAATGGAAGCATTCTAAGAAATGGCCACCCAGTGGGCTCCCATAGCCCCTATAGGGTGTTCACTTTAAAAGGTTTAGCTAGGTCATAGGTCATGGTACCATAGATCTACGGTATATACCTCAGAAGCCCTATTGTCAGCACCACGAACCCTCACCCCCACATTTACAAATGAAATTGAGACCCACGGAGGCCACATGGTATAACATAATGGATAGGGCACTGGATTTGGGGTCAGGAAGAACTGTTCAAATCCTGCCTCAGATACTTACTAGGAGTGTGACCTTGTACAAGTCACTTAACTCTATGGGCCTCAGTTTCCTCATCTGTAAAATGAACTCAATGACCTCCAAGCTCCCTACCAGCTCTAAATCTATGATCTTATGTAATAATAATAGCTAACACTTATCTAGTACTTCCTTTGTGCCAGGCATGGTGCTTAGTCCTTTAAAATTATCATCTCATTTGATCCTCATAACAATTCTAGGAGATAGGTGCTATTATTATTATCCTTATTTTATAGAAAAGAAAGCTGAGGCAAACAGAGGTTTAGTGACTTGCCTAGGGTCATACAGTTCGTAAATGTCCAAGGCTGGATTTGAACTCAGGTCTTCCTAGCTCCAGGCCTGGCACTCTATCCATTGCACCACTTAGCTGCCCCAGAACAACCCTGGGAGGTAAGTACTATTATTATCACCATTTTATAGATGAAAAAAACTGAGGCAAACAGGTTCAGTGACTTGCCCAAGGTCACACACGTACTGGGGGTTGGATTGGTTCTCATGAAGGCAGCTTGTGTAATTGGCTTGCAAAATCCCCAGACACCTGTGTCCCACTAGTATCTGCTTTTCATATTCCTCAGCTGGGGGGCAGCTAGGTGGCGCAGTGGATAGAGCTCTGGCCTTGGAGTCAGGAGGATCTGAGTTCAAATCTGACCTCAGACACTTGACACTCACTAGCTGTGTGTGACCCTGGGCAAGTCACTTAACTCCCGATTGCCTCTCACAGAAAGCAAAAAAACACAAAAGGAAAATATGCCCCAGCTGAAACTGGGGTGGTTTCAGCAAAAGGACTTGGGAAGAATAAATGCAGATGTGGACAGCTCTAAAATGCCATTTGGTCTAGTGGAAAGAGAACTGACCATGGACCTGGGTTCAAATTCTACTCTGATGCTACCTGTGTGACCTTGAATAATTCACTTAACTTTCCTGGTTCTCTTTTCCCTCATCTCTAAAATTAGGTGATTAGACTAGATGCCCTTCGGGGTCTACGGCACTATGAACCCTGAGTAATGCAGCTTAACAGAAACAAGACCAGTCTGGGACATTCATCTCATTCTACTGTAAATAAGTTGGGGACAAAACAAAATCCCCATCCTTTTTTCCACTGCTGACTCTGTGTTTGGCACTGTGCGGCTGTCTCTGGATCCCCGAGGTTTACAGAAAAATACAGGTATGAGCCTGGCTACAAGCTGTCTGAGTGGGGTAGATGAGGAGAAACCTTTGACTGCCCTGAAAGGGTTCCTCTGAGGACAGTAATTGAAGCAAACACTACGCTCTGTCAGTTATTTCCCAATTACATTTTAATTTGGTTTGGGCTGCCCCGGGGAGTCCTCAGGACAGCTGGTACCTAGCCAGGAGGGTCACCAAGCCCCCGCTAACTCTGAGGTCTTATCAGATTTTGCATCAATTCTCTGCCTGTCCTACTTTCCATTTCTGTCTGATGGAGGCTTGTCTCTGGGCTTCTGACCCAGACTTACTTGGTCCAGCGTGGTCTGTGTGACTGAGTATTCCTCGATGTGTAGGCTGTCCTTGTTGGAAATGAGCAGCTGGAAGATCCTGGCCAGCGAGGGGGAGGAGATGCGGTACTGGAGCATGTTATAGTGTCTCTCCCTCTGTACGCTGTCTGGGAAGTTTGCCTGTAAGAACTGCTCGGCTGGGTTCAGGTCTGGCAGCAAGCCCACCTTGGGGGGCTTGATCTTCATCGTGACGATGTAGCCGTCCCCAAACCTAGGATGCAGACGCAGGAGCAAAGGGCACAAGGTGAAGCCAGAAGAATGAGGGAGAGGGGTTTTCATTTTCCAGCTCAGGAAAAATCCCCCACCTACCCTCCCCCAAGAAGTCTAACAGAGCAGGGGGAAGGAGTGCTGAAGAGTTGGCAGGCAGACGGTGTGGTGGGGAGATCACTGGACCTAGCACCGGAAAGTCCTGAATTCAAATCCAGCTGAGATATTTAGTCACTGGGCAACCTTCATTGTAGATCAACACTACCTAGTATTATCCTTTAGAACACTTACTACCTGTGTGACCCTGGCCAAGCCCTTCTACCTTAAACCCTGCTGGGACTAAATCTCCTCATCGGTAAAATGAATGGGTTGGATTAGACGGCCTCTGACGTATCTTCTAATTGGAAATCCTTGAGCCTGTCACCTGGGTTTTAACCTTGGCTCTGCCATTCACTATGTGTGTAACAATGGAAAGGTCATTCAACCTCTCTGGGCCTCAGTTTCCTTATCTGCAAAATGAGTGGGAAGGACTAGATTCTAAAGCTACAAGTCTCTGCTCTCTCTTGCCTATTCTATCCTTGGTGAATTGATTTGTTGGGTATCAAGAGGAAAGGATTAGAGGCCATTTGCCTGGCACAAGCTGGCATTCCAGACTGTTGACACATGTGTGTAGTAGGCTATTCATCGTCAGATCATAGACTTTGATCTAGAAGGGCCATTAGGGGTCATTGAGTCCTTTCATTTTGCAGATGAGGAAATTGAAGTACAGAGTGGTTAAGCAATTTGCCCAGGGTCACACAGCTAGTAAGTACTGCAAAGATCTGAGATCTGAACCGTGGTTCTCTGACCTCAACTCCAGTATCCTTTCCACTCCCCCAAGCAGCTTCTCTGAGCTCTTTGAAGGCAGGGGTTCTGGTCATTCACATTTGTAACTACCTTGTAACGCATAATATGGCACCCGTACATAGTGAATGCTTAACAGATGTCGCACAAGATCATAAGAAATGACCAGCACTCTCTGGTTCTCTCCAGCAGCACTTAACTACAGGTCAAGCATTGATTCTCCATACATAGTTCCCCTGGCTTCTTACTGGTCTGTGTTAAAAGGGGTTGGGAAAGGCTTCCTGAAGAAGATGGACTTTTGGTTGGGACTTTAAAGAAGCCAAGAAGCCAGTAGGCAGAGATGCTCTCCCAAAGCAGGAAGTAGGATGCAATTTTAAAAAAAAACACACACACACACAAACCACATCTCTCCCAAACTCTTCTGCCACCTCCTAAATCATCATTCTTTTCATCAGTGAGAAGAGTCTTATGCAAATATTCCAAGCTCGAACATACAATTACAAATCCAATTCAAGTCTGCAGGTATTTATATTAAAATACTGCTATGTCATTTAGTTCATTGACAAGCATTTATTAAGCTTCCACTATGTGCCAGGCACTGTGCTTGGTGCTGGGAATACAAAAACAGAAAGAAAACAGTCCATGACTTCCAAGAGTTTACTTTCAATTGGGGAGATTTAACATGTTCACAGACAAAAAAAAACACAAGTCATACCCAAAGTGATTTGGTTGGTTGATTGTGTGTTCAAAGCAAAGCTTTTACCTGTTCCTCATCCCTGACTGCATGTAGAGTGAGGCTTTCCATACACCACAGCCAGACCTGCCCTCACCTAGATAAACAGGCTAGGCTCTTACCACACTTTGAATCACTGGATGAGGCCCTTTCTCATCACCTGCCTGACACCAGGAGGCTCCTGTCTCTGCTCTCCTCCACCTGGGACGAGGATGGAGATGACCAGACCCTCAAGCTTCAGAGAGGGGCCACCCTGCCCACCTGCAGACTGGCTTTTTCCTTACTTGTATTTGAGGTGCTGTATAGTGCCTAGGCACTTGAAGGTTCCTTTCACCATGATGGCCAGCCGAGTACACAGGGCTTCACATTCTTCCATGCTGATGGGGAAGAGAGAGGGGAGAGAGAGATTGAGGGGGTAAGAGGCTGTGTGGATGTTCCTTGCCCCAAACCCCAAACTGCCCTGGGTCCCCGGAACAAAGCTCTCACCTGTGTGATGTCAGGACAACCGCTCTCCCTTCCCTGATGATGCTGACGATGGTGTTCCATAGCAGTCGCCTGGACTGTGGGTCCATCCCTGTGGTGGGCTCATCCTGGAGGATGGGAGGGATAGGAAAGGGCTGTGCTAAACAAGCTGTCTTCTCCTGGTCACCTCATCTGCCCTGCCCCTCCAACCCCCATGTGTCCCCTGGCTAGAGGCTAGTCTAGCCACAAGGCAGTTTTAACCTCCAAAGAGCTTAGGCCCCTTGAAAAGGATTAACTAAACTGACATGAAGTCTCCAATTTAGGAACATAGATGTAGAAAGAGAGAAGGAAGAGCATTAGAGAAGAAGTCTCTAATACAGCAACATAGGGCTGCAGGGGACCACTGAGACCACCTACTCCAATCCCCTCATTTTATAGATAAGGAAACTATAATAATGATGATGAAGTTGATGGCTAGCATTTATATTAAGGTTTGCAAAACTCTCCATAAATGTCATCTAACAAGAACCCTCAGAACTAGGGGCTGTTATTATTATCCCCAATTTGCAAATGAGGAAACTGAGGCAGGCAGAGGTTAAGTGATTTGTCCAGGGTCACACAGCTAGTAAATATCTGAGACTGGCTTTGAAATCACTCTAGCTAGACCCAGCACTCTACCCACTTTGCCATCTAGCTGCCGATAAAAATATTAATATAATAATATTAACTGTATAATAGATATGCAGCATGGTTTGGTGGATAGAATCTAAATTCGAAACTAGGAAAACTTGGGTTCAAGTTCAGCTTCTGAAATAGATGTGACCCTGGGCAAATCACATAATTTATTTATTAGTAATAAACTGGGTAATATAAATTGCAGAAAGAGTGCTAAAATGCATTGGTAGATGGAATTCTTTATATCAATGAAATCACAGGTTCAGTCCTTATCTCTGTTCTTAATTGTATGATATCAATCAACAATCTTTAATTACCTATGATGATGTGCCATGCACTGTGCTAAGTCCTGGAGATACAAAAAGACAAAAATGAAACAGTCTCTGCCCTCAAGGAGCTTCCATTCTATCAGGGAAACAAATATGTTTGTTTCACACAGAAGTGTGTGCAAAATCTATAAAAAAAAAATAACACAAAATATTTGGTGGGGAGGCACTAGTATTTAAGGATAGGAGTGAGGTTTAGGGCACTGTCTTTAAAAGCAACAGTGAGTCATATTTACCTGGAGCAGAGGGATATTTTAAGAGACTTCTTTAGTCTCTCGAGTCCTGTGATTCTATACTACCAATGAACTCCTGTTTACCTGGTAATAACGAGACTTATGTGTTAGGGCCTTCTTTCTTGCAGTCACAGATGAGGGTCAGTGCCCAGGAGTGATTCCAGGGGACTGGCACCCTTGGATCTCAGTGAAAGCAGGCTTCACACCCCTCCTATGTGGCAATCTGTGAGCTCACAACAGTATTGTGTCTGACCAACTTGGGGGGGGTGGTGGTTACCTGGCCTTTTCACAAAAATAATCCCTTCTCCCTACTGGGACATTCTCTCCAACGGCCAAAGAGATGTATCCAATTGTACCCAAGTGCGGAAGGTTACATTTTCATACAAAGATCTGAACCAAACTAAAAGTGGGAAACTTGATTATTTTGTTGAATTTTAAAATTCAATTAATCCAAATATATGTATATGTCATATAAAAATGTGTGTACCTATATATGCATACATAGATATAATATATTATACATACTATATTATATATACATGAATAAACATAAATGAATTCAAATATCTATTTGTTTATTAGGGCTAGACCAATGATTTCATTGGTCCAGAGAATTAATTCCCAGTGAGGTGACTCTATCTATCAATGAAGGAAGATACCTCCTTTACAATTTCTAGTCTTAGAGATTTGCCTTTTCAATTGAGAAGTGAAGTGACTTGCCAGCCAGTAGGTATCACAGGCAGGACTTGAATCCAGGTCTTATGGATTCGAAGTCCAGCTCTCTGCCCACTCCACCATACTACCTTTTGTGTGTATGTATGCACATGTGTGCTTGTGCACTGCTATACCCATGATTTCAGTGGTTTAGGGAATTCCCTGGTGAGGGAGCTGCTTCTAACAATGCTGGTAGACACCTTCTCTGCAGCTTATCATCTTAAAAAGTTGTTGAAAGCATGAGAGGTTAAGTGACTTGCCCAGGGTCACACAGCCAGTATGTGTTAGAGTTGGGACTTGAATCTGCATCTTCCTGGTTCCAAGGCCAGCTCTCTCTCTGTCCCCTAAGTCACACTGTCCCCATATACATACATGCATATAGGTATATACATAATAAAACTATATTTACACAAAATAGATTTCATATTTATGTTCCTGAGCTCTTTAATATTCCTGGACCATTAACTAAATGGAAGTGTTTTTCTTTTAAATGAACCATTAAAGATGAACGCAAGCACTATGTTTTCTAGAACTATTGGACCAAGTCATTGAAATGTTCTCTGAATTGGATGATACTTTGATGGGAGTAGAGTCATTGGGTCCCCATGCTGCAGGGCCCTCATCCCTCCCTCCACTCCATGGCACCTCTTACCAGCAACACCAGAGGTGGGCAGCCAATCAGAGCGATGGCCGTGGAGAGCTTCCGCTTATTACCCCCACTGTAGCTGCCTACCACGTGGTCTGCATAGGAAGACAGACCCAGGCTCTGAATGCACCAGTTTGCCACCTGGGGAAGAAAGTCAAATCAACAAGTCAACCAGCATTTATTAAACACTTACTGTATGCCAGGCATTGTACTAAGTTCAGGGGATACAAAGAAAGGCAAAAACATAGTCCCTGTCCTCAAGGAGCTCAGTCTAATGTGGGAGACAATATGCCAACATAAAAAATATACACATTGTAAAGGTTTTCTCAGAGGGAAAGCACAAGCATTAAAGGGGACCATGACAGAAATCCCTTTTGGTAAAATTCAATTCAATGAGCATTTACATAGTGCTGACTATATGCTACACACAAATACAAAAAACCCAACCACTCTCCCCAACCTCTCCTGTCTTAAGGAAATTACATTCTACTAGTCAGATACAATGTGTAGATAGGTAAGTAAATACAAAGTATACAGGGTGTCCCAAAAGTCTTAGTACAGTTTTAAGTTTTAAGGGCGTAAAAGTACACTAAGACTTTTGGGGCACCCTGTATACCAAGTTAGCAGAAAGTATTGGGGGTGGGATAGGGACGGAGAAGGAATTATTATCAGCTGCATTAGGGGGATCAAATAAATAAGACAAAGTAGCCACATATGATCCTAACCCAAAATAAAGGTATTCAATTTTTCCCCACCTTGCCAGATATTTGAAGTAATTTGCTGTGCCCTCTCTTCCTTGCCCTCACATCCCCCAGAGTGACAAGGGAACCCTAGAGACACAAACTTAAGGAATGTGCTCCAGTTGGTTTTCTTCTTTCACTTTGTTCTCCAGCTTAAGCCATTTATTCATCAATAAGTATTTGTTAAGTTAACAAGCATTAGTAAGTGCCTGCTACATGTTGGGCACTGTACTAAGGATTGGGAATACAAAAAACGACAAAAGACAGTCCCTGCCCTCAAGGAGTTCACAATCTAATAGGAGAGACAACAAACACAACACTATGTACAAACAAGCTAAATGCAGACCACACTGGAAATAATCAACAGAGAGAAATGAAGAAAGCCTCCTGGAGAAAGTGGAGTTTTAGTTGGGATTTGAAGGAAGCCAGGATATGGAGATGAGGAGAGAGAGGGAGAGCATTTGAGGCATGGGGGACAGCCAGAGAAAATGCCAGAAGTCAGGACATAGAGTCTCTTGGTTCAGGACTGAAGATTACTCAAAGGGGAGGATGGTGTTGCTGGGTACTGTGTCCAGGGAAAGAGTCTCCAATTTTATACAGACAAGAAATCATTCTAGACTCAAGACTGCAGTCTGGTCTGATGACACAAATAAAAGGCCTCAATGCTGTTGAGCTTAAGGCCTGAAAATAACCAAACCTAACTTCTGGTCCCTTTGGTGACTACTTGGTGACCAGAGCCTATGGGCATAAACTGGCAGCTTCTGGGCTTGAGGACGTATGGTGAGAGGTAGCAACAGCAGCATCTGGGCAGTAGCAACTAGCATTTACATATCCCTTTAAGGTTTTCAAAGGGTTTTACCTATGTTAACTCAGCTTATGTATGAAGAAGCCTGTCAGAGCCCAATCCCCACCTTGCCCTGCCCTGCCCTGGGATTTGGGCTTTAATTCTCCCCGGAGTATCAATAATGAGCCAGATTTTACCCTTTTGATATCGTCTGTTGGAACACCACGGAGACGGGCATAGAGATGCAGATGTTCTCGGCCTGTGAGCAGGTCGTCGATAGCATCAAACTGAGGGCAATAGCCCATATTTTGGTGGACTTCAGAAATTTGGGTTAAAATACTGCAAGAAGAAGGAGGAATCCTTAGCTGCAGAAACAGTAAGTGGATCAGAGGGTTGGGGTGGGGGAGTCCTTCTTAAGCATCTGAAGAGGACACCTGAGCAAAGACAAACTGCTTCCTTCCTCACTTTTTCCAAGTGCTAAGAATGGATGCCCTGTTTTAGGAATCAAGGGAGGGGAGCCCTGGTTAGAAACTAAATTAACTCCAAAATTCTGGACTTTGAACTCAACACATACCACGGAATCACAGAATGCCAAGAGTTGAAAGACCCCTCAGTGGCCATCTAGACCAGCCCATGCTCCTAAGGAATCTCTTCTAAAACATAGCCCAGAAGCCATCATCCCTGGCTTGGAGGCCTCCATGTAGGAAGAACCCATCTCCTCTTGAGGCATCCTGTTCCACTTTGGGACAGCTCTGATTGTTAGCACATCTTGTCTGGCATCACGCCTAAATCTGCCTCTTTACACCTCCTACCCCATTGCTCCTGGTTCTACACTCAAGGGCCAAATAGAATAAGTCTAGGCAGCGGGGGTAGCTAGGTGGTACAATGGATAGAGCATTGAACCTGAAGTCAGGAAGACCTGAATTCAACTCTGACCTCAGACACTTTCTAGCTGTGGGACCCTAGACAAGTCAGTTGATCTCTGTTTGCCTCAGTTTCCTCATCAGTGAAATGGACATAATAGCACCTACTTCCCAGGATTGTTATGAGGAGGAAATGAGATGTTTGTAAAACACTCTGCAAACCTTAATGAGTTATATAAATGCTAGTTATTATTACTTACTATCAAACCCTCAAGAGCTTCCAAGTCCTTCAGATACTTGAAGGCAGCTCTCATTATCACCACCCCTTCCTCCAAATTTTCTCTTCTCCAGGCTAAATACCCTCCGTTCTTTCAACCAGTCCTCATGTGACATTGACTCAAGGCCCTTTACCATCCTGGATGGCTTCCTCTGGGTACTCTCTGGCTTCTCAATGCCCTTCCTGAAATGTAATGCCCAGAGTGGAAGAGGAGGCTCTACATATGGCCTGACTGACTATGACTGAGTATGGGGGGCTACCATCTCCTCATCCACAGAGAGGACTGTGCCAGGAGCCAGTCCCTTTGTGAGGTGGCACCCAGCCCACACTGGGGAGAAAGTGGCAAGGAGGTGAGCCCCCTCATATCAGCCTCCAAGGGGAGAAAGTACAACCCACAACCTCCCCTTGAGGTTCCCACAATTAAAGGAGCTACCTGAGGTTTCAAGGCCCTGACTAAAACCACATGTGAATTTAAATACAAAAGGAAGAAAATGCTTCAGAAAAGGAACTGAGAGTTTTCACGCATTCTAGACATCCAAAAGAACTAACTAGAGAAGCCGGATGACTGCAGATGAAAATGGATTTTCTTACCCTTATTCATTAGCAGAGAGGTAGCCCTGGTGCAGGAGAGGCAGCTAAAACCTAGTGCCAAGCGTATGGACTCTGGAGTCAGAGGAGATGGGTTTGAATCCTGGGCCTACTGTGCATGATCTTGTTCACTTACCCTCTCTGGGCCTGATTATGGTGGATATGGGGTTTGCCTAGTAGAGGATGCTCATAGTAGCTTCCCTAAGCTGGCCTACTTTGGCATGGCCAAGGACCAGTGTTTTCAACACACACGTGGTGCCAGGGCCCTGGCCCACAAAGCAAGGCACTCACCTCTTTCCCGCCACAGTGGCATCTCCTGAGGTCACTGTGATGTCTCCAGTGAGCATCTTGAATGTGGTGGTCTTACCAGCACCGTTCACTCCCAGGAGACCAAAGCACTGCAACAGAAGAAGGTGAACAGCTGGACTAGAAGGAATGTTCCTTTATTTCCTTTCTTCTGCCTGTCCATTTGGAGAGCTGCACTTTTACACTGATAATGTAATACAAATATTCACAATCTCCTTGGTCACGGTTGGCCCTAGTCCAGATTGTGGAACAAGACTTTGGCTTCTAGTGCCCTCCATCTTCCCGGGGTTGGGGTGGGTTCTTTTCTTCCCTTCTTACAGCCATCTCAGGATCCCAGAATCCTCAATATACCCCTTTTCTGCCATTATCCCTTCACTAGGGCTCCCCACCTAATCCCCAAAGGGCAGCATTCAACATTCAGAATCATTCCCCTTCCCCTGTTCTATGTCCCATCCACACAGAGTCCTGTTCTCTGATAACTAAATTGATAACCTAATTCTGGCTAAAGTGGTAATGACTGATAATGGCTTACAGATTTCCATTTTTAGCTGAAGTTTTCAATCTCTTAACTCAAATGACTAAAAACACAATGCCTATGTATAATAATATGCACTTAATAATAGCTTATTGAATGAATGAATGAAATAAATGATTCAAACAGGCTGACAGGACTGTGCTATGGATGATAAATGGGCCAGAGGGATTTTTCTTTGTTGCTCAAACCATACAACAGAAATGTCTGCCTGTTCTAATAAAGTGAGAAAAGAACTTTGCAAGCTTTGTTATGTGTGTGTGTGTGTGTGTATGTGTATATATATATATATCTATATATATCTATATATATCAGTATGTATATATAATCAATATATATACTGTATATCAGTATATATATATCAGTATGTATATATATATCAGTGTGTATGTATATATATATATATACATATATATATATATGTCAGCTGCTATGATTATTATTATCTACCCAAAGGTATTCAATCAGCAGGCTTTTAAGTATTTACTAAGTGCCAGGCTTTGTGCTAAGCTGGGGACACAAAGAAAGGAAAAACCTAGATTGACTTTGTCCCTTAACCCCTCCCTAATCAGAGAGTGATGCCAGGGTGACCTACATGCCAGGCTTCTATGTATTGTAGGTCTCTTGAAATTAGGTCAAATTTGCTTCTGGTATGAAACCATCTACAATCCACTATGGGCCCAGCAGCTTTGCAAATAAGCAAAAATAACAAAAATAAAAGAAAAAACTTTGGATCCAGAGACATTTTCCCAGCTTACTTCAATTGCTCCAAGTCAGTTTCTAGTCAGTTTCTTTTCCTTTCCCCCCAATCTTCTCTTCCTCCTACTCATTACAGATTTTCAGTCAGTGTTTGCTGACTGAAACACGGGTAGAGGTCACTCACTCCCCAAAGCTCCAAATCCAAGCTAATAAACTTCAGGGCTCCCTATGACCTCTAGGATAAAATAGGAATTCCTCCACTTGGATTTTAAGGCCCTTCCCCATGTAACCCGAACCTATTTTTCCTATAGATATAGGTAGATATAGCATTATATATGTGTGTGTATACAGAGAGAGAGAGAGAGAGAGAGAGAGAGAGAGAGAGAGAGAGAGAGA